GATGAACATGAAGAAGATGACAACATTATGGATATGACACCATTGACAAGTGAGCGATGATATGCAGCTGAAATAAATGTTAGAAACATTTGGGATAATGTACACAACTCAACAATATATATAATATAGGTCTTATTTATAGACTGTTGCAACAGTGCAGAATGTTATAGCTTTAATATTATAGAAGGGAAATGATAAATAATCTGCTTTACTTCCACTCAATACCAGCACAACTCTCACACTCTCTGACCTCCACCAAGGAGGCAACTCACTGAGATTGATGGATAAATCTGTAAGTCAGGGAATGTAATTGCAGAATATAGTCATGATTGGCAGGAAATACTCATCAACGTTAACCAGTTTTGATGCTTACGTTTTCCAGTGGTGGAAACACCTGGAATATCCTGGAAATTTTTTGTTGAGTTTTAGCCCCTCACTCACATCACCTACATAACCCAAGGTGTATATTTAGTGTGCAACGAGGACACTTCAAACTGGGTTCACCAGACAAATTGAGAAACATTTTCAATTTGAGCCATGTCCTTCAATCTAGCTGTTCACACTAGACACTGAGTGGAACGGACTTGCTGAAATCTTTTCAGCGTAATTAATCCGTCACACTTCATCATGATTCCTGCGTCATTCAAGAAAAAGTCCTGGAAAAAGTCCAGTCCTTAAGTAAAGAAGTCCATTATTCTTTGAGCAACCATGATCTGATTTAATGCTGCACACGGCATGAGTCTGTGCAGCGAAAGTAACAGTTGTTGGTTAATGTTACTTTGCTTAGATGTTGAAGATAGAGCTTGCTAAATACAGTGGCATATTCCATGGATTATGTCTGTTGTGGTACAGGAACAAGGTAAACAAACCCCAAAGTCTATGTACAGTATATATAGTTATTGTTGTGGCCAGCGAGTTTCACCATCCTGTGAGGTGAGTTGAATCCAGCCTTTCCTGGAAGCAGTATGTACCACTACAGACCTGGTACATACCAAGCTTGCAAAAGTATTGGTCCAAAAATGGTGTGTTTTCTTTCTTTTTTTTCAGCATTAGCTATGAATCAAACTAACAGCTCTCATTTTCATGTCTTCAGGTGCACCAATGTCTCTCATCCCCTGCTGACTCCAAGACTGCAAGAAACATGTTAAAAGACCTGAAGGATGGACTCTGTGATCAGACAGAGGCACTGATCGGTCAAGGCAGCAACACAAAAAACGGTCAGCAGAACACCGCTCTGACCGCTGACAGCAGTAAGGTCACGGACAGGGGAGGGAAGAAGCTGCAGCCAGACAAGGCTGAGAGCCAATCATCAAGGAACAGTAACACATCTAGCCAATCCGTGGGGGACGCCGACATGATGGGATTGTGCCCTCCGCTGCTCAACCCTTTTATGGTGCCCCTGAAACTGTTGAAGCTCAGATAAGACACAGAGTTCAACATTTATAAAACAAATGTGCAATGGTTTGTGTAGTTCTGTCTCCGTTCTGTAATAATACAATGAGGTCTAAGGCTACTGGGCTGGGTGCCCAGTTGGCTTTAAATGTCTTTTTTGACATTATTGTGTAAAATTACATTACAGTAAAGAAAATGTTTCTTCTGTAATTTTGCCTGGATGTGTTTGTTTATTGACAGGTATCTTATTAACAAAAACGTTGAATAAATATTTTTTATCAGTGTATTATTACTGTTATTATTATTATCAGGTAAATTATTACTGTAATTTTATATAATGACTTTTATTACAGTTCTATAACTAACTAAATCTAATCATAACAGCACTCTTATAAATTTAAGCCTGATTATTTGTATTATAGCAGTGTTCGCCTGTATTTATAGGTGATTCATTGTTTTTACATGTATAAATATTTTTAATTAAACAAAAGGCCAAAACAATTCTTACGATTTTATGAATTAAAGCTAAAATCTGTATTTTAATTATAGAAAATGGCTGTATTTTTTTTTTTTTTTTACTGTGTGGTCCTTCAAAATGTATCTTATCCTTTCTAAATATAATGTACAGGCTAGATCACACAACCAGATTTTGGAGGAAGGAACTGTTTTCTTTCATTACATAAATAATAACTTTTTTTGCTGTGATAAGAGAGGAATTGTTGCTAGGCTTTGGTGAGCATCCTTAAAGCTTCAGAAACACAACAATTGATAAAGGTTCTGGTTTGAGCGGGGTATTAATTATTTCTAAACCTCCGTGATCAGATGACAATAAGGAAGCGAATGTCGGGAGAGTACAGACGCAATTGTTCTTATTACTGTTTTACAATGTTTGCCTTGTGTAGCTTTTGACTATCACTGATCCGCTGATATGTCTCAATCCTGATTGTGTAATCTCACAGTAGAGATACTGTATGTGTAGTCATTTTAGTGGGAAACAGAAACCTATGGGACATCTACACAGTGTAATCTCACAGTAGAGATACTGAATGTGTATTCATTTTAGTGGGAAACAGAAACCTATGGGACATCTACACAGTGTAATTTCACAGTAGAGATACTGTAGAGGTCTTTCATTATAACTACTTTATATACTCAACAAAGATACTTTTACGGTAAAAACAACTTGCAGCTGTGGTTGCCAGAACTTTACAATAATAAATACGGTAAAGGGATACAATTACGGTGCGGTACTGTTGAGTTTTAATCCATATTTTACTTTAAAAATAAAAGTTTTTACCATCAAAAGAAACGGTTTTGCCATATTAAATAAAAAAAACATGAACGCTATGACGGTGATTTTCTGTGCAATTTACTGTCTGTCATATAAAAATGAGAAGTCCTTATATTGCTCAGAAGAAAAGAAACCCTTCTCAAAAAACAAATCAAATTGTAACTTGGAGAATCTGCTAATGAAGATCATCTGTCTATCATCATGTCAACTATGTTAGTTTTAAATTAATCTGTTGTGTTTGTTAAATGATTGCTTTGACTCCAATTCAATTAAATTTTATGTGTATAGTGCAAATTCATAACAGTCAGATTTAAGCTTAGTAAGTAATTTAAATCAATTTACTAAATCAAGTTGACTAAATTCAAGTTAGTTAAGTTTAACAAACATAAGCATTAGCAAACATAGCTTAATGCACTAAGAAAACCATTTAAACCTGTAAAATACATTACATGATTTAAATTACTTAAGAGTTAATTGTTTGAGTGTACGTTGGGGGAATTTTGACATTACCTCAGTAGTACTGCCTCACTCACTCTCAAAATCCTGGCTACAGCGACTGAACGTAACTGTCAGTAAAATATAGTGGTAGTGGTTTAGATCTTTCAAAATCACAAATTCTGAAAATCAAATTCAACGTATTTATTTGGATGTGAAAACTGAACTTAAAACTTAAAACAAATTAACATTAAGTAGTGTTCACATCATTTCAAGGTTACAGTTTAAAACCAGCTTTATTACTGCCTAGGTCAAGTGCTCTGTTTATGACTGGAGAATGTAAAATGTGATATAATGTTATATATTAATATTTGTCAGGCTTTATTGTAGTGTCTGATAAGACGAAAGTGAACACACCTTTTTATGACAGTAAGAGAGCTATTTCTTCTTTCTCCTCGCTCACCCTTACGTTATTACACATGATTTTGTGACGTCTCTGCTATAAACCTTTGACCCCTCCAGCAGAGAAATGTAGGCGGTGACTTGTGGAATCTATTATAATTAACAGTTAGCCATGCACACTATTGCTGACTTATATCTACGATCTGATCAGTTGTGTCACATCTGAAGCCATTATAACATTTTGATAAAGATAACTGAGAAACAAGCAGTCATACCAGTTAGCTGTGACGTAACCACCACTGTGCAGCATGATTCAATTTAATTTAAGAAATAAAGTGTTAAAAACTGAAATTATCTTCAGATATTTGCTTTATAATGTACCACAATAATGTAATGTTTTTTTTTTATAGAACTTTATTTTTCATATTTTTAAATAACATATACAAGACATGAAAGACAAACATTCCCAAGCCTGGCAATTTTAACAATAGTCACAGTAAATACTATAGTTGTTTTCTGTTTTTTTTACTACAGTAAAAAAAAAAAGGGAGAAATATGTAAATTAGATGCACACACACATAAAATAAGCTACAAAAACAAAATAAATGAAAAATAAGGGGGGGGGGTATCTCCAGATTCTCCAGTTAAAAGTAAAAATTAGGAGGCTGATGGCAGAGTGGGGGTGATCTCAGAAGCACTAAGAGAGGAGAAATGGGAAATAAATAATTCCCAAACCAGGCAAAACTTTTGTTGCTTATCATCTCTCAAATACCTCATCTTTTCAAGGTGAATGTAGCTCATCATGTCATGAATCCAGTTAATATGAGCAGGTGGATGCTCAGATTTCCAGTTTAGAAGAACCAGTCGTCTAGCTATTAAAGTAGAGAAGGCGAGGGCGTCTTTTTGAAGATTTGAGAGTTTTGTGTTTTTTGGCGATAGGCCAAAAAGTGAAACAAGTGGGTACAGGCTGATTGTTGAGCCCAATGCTATTGTCAGAGAGTTAAAAATAGATTTCCAGAAAGTGATCAGCCAGAACATATGGAGGAGTGATGCAGGAGCTTGCCTACATCTATCACAAGTAGGGTCCATATATGGTTTAACCTTTGCTAGTCTGACCATAGTCCAATAAATGCGACGTATAAATTTGAACTGTATGAGGTTATGACAAGCCGTATAGAAGAGGAATTAATCCTACTTAGAACTTCTTTCCACTCCTCATCTTTAAACTTATAATCCAAATCGTCCTCCCAGTTTTGTCTAACAGAAGAGGGAGAGAGTCCAGTAATGAGGTCATAAAGTGCAGACACAGCTCCATTACCGTTGACATTCATTTCTAGAATAGTGTCAAGTGGCATTTAGGGCGGTCAG